CCTTGTCCAGGTCCATGTCCAACCCCAGCAGATCCGCTCCAAGGCACTGGGGCCAGCTTCTTTCTGGCTCCCTGGGGCTGCTGCTCTTCGCTTCCATCCAGCTTCTCCTTTTCAGCTCTACAGGGCTGCTCCTGCCCAGCTGAGTGGGACTGCTCCTTTCCAGCTCCATGCAGTTGCTCCTCTCTGGTCCCGGGACCTCGGCCATGTCCCCATTTGCAGCCTTGTCCAGGTCCATGTCCAACCCCAGCAGATCCGCTCCAAGGCACTGGGGCCAGCTTCTTTCTGGCTCCCTGGGGCTGCTGCTCTTCGCTTCCATCCAGCTTCTCCTTTTCAGCTCTACAGGGCTGCTCCTGCCCAGCTGAGTGGGACTGCTCCTTTCCAGCTCCATGCAGTTGCTCCTCTCTGGTCCCGGGACCTCGGCCATGTCCCCATTTGCAGCCTTGTCCAGGTCCATGTCCAACCCCAGTCCCCATTTGCAGCCTTGCCCAGGTCCATGTCCACCCCCAGCAGATCCGCTCCAAGGCACTGGGGCCACACTCTGGCCCCCAGCAGCCCCAGCTCATCTTGCACCTCCCTCCTGGTGGGCGGGCGGGGGGGGTCCCCAGAGGGGGTCCCACCGCAGGCTCCGCTGTCACCCCCCGCTGCCCCTTGCCACTGGGCCAATGCTACCTGCAGCAGCGCACAGCACTGCTTGGTCACTGCCTGGCTGGCCTGGAGAGCACGGACAAGCTTGAGGACAAGCTCCCCCTTGTCCATGGCCATGGCCGGGTGGCTGTCGTGGGGCAGCTCCAAGTTCACAGGGCTCTGTGCCCTCTTCCCGTGGTCCCCAGGGACCTGCTCTTGCTCTTTCCCCACTGGCAGCTCCAGTGGTGGGTCCTGGCATAGGCCCAGGCCAGGCGTCCCCACCGGCTCCTTGGCAGCCTTGGGGGGTCCCGAGCCATTGAGCGCTGCCACCTCTACCGCCGCACCGAACCAGGGCTCGGGGAAGGAGTTGAGGGAGCCCAGGGAAGAGGAGCTGTTCCCCGACAGGGAGGCCAGCGAGCCCAGGGAGTCCATGGAGGCCAGCGGAGCCCGCGGGGCCAAGCACTCTCTGCTCGAAGCCTCCACGCTTGCCCTGCAGAGGAGCAGAGGAAGGAGGCCCTGCTGCACCCCGGCCCCTCCGGCGGGACCCGTGGGCAGCACCCCCTTCTTGGCCAGCGGGCAGGGGCAGGGCACGGGGTGAGGGTCTGGGGCAGGATCTGGGGGTCTCCCCCAGCACTCACTGCATCTCCGGGGTCAGCCTGCACTGCTTCACTCCTCCGTCTGCTCGGGGAGAAGCTGCTGAGGGAGGAGATGGAGTGAGCGGCCGGCAGCCCCCGGCACAGCCCCGGGTCAGGGCTGCTGTGGGGTGTCGGCCATTTGCAGGGCGCTCGGTGTGCCCGTTTGCAGGGCGCTCGGTGCCGGGGCCACTCACCACTCTGCTTCTCTGGCCGGGCTCTCGCTGCCCTTGTCCGAGGCTTTGACGTCTTCCGGCACCTCTGCAGGATCCCCGGGAGCTGGGTGAGACGGGAGCCGCTCCTGGCCCCACACCATAGCCCCCGTGCCACTCCACACCACATCATGCCATACCACGCCACACCATAGCATACCACACCGCGCCATGTCATACCACCCCACCCTACACCACCCCACCCCACCCCATGCCACCCCACACTGCAACGCTGTGCGGTGCAGCGTGGTGCGGTGCAGCAGTCACCTACCCGGAGCCGCCTGACCCACAGCACGGCAGAGACCAGGCTGAGCTGCAGCACCAGCATCAGGAGCCCCAGCTGCTGAGCCGGGGGGGGGGTGTGGGAGCGCCCCATGGCACCGGCTCTGATGTGGCCGCGTTGCTCCGAGTCACCAGCACAGGCCCGCGATGCGGATCCCCAGTGACCTCCTGGGTCCCCAGTGGCGGGAC